TGCAGAGGGGGACGGGGACGGGGTGCAGAGGGAGACGGGTGCAGAGGGGGACAGGGCCACGAGGAATGGGGACGGGGTGCAGAGGGGGACAGGGCCACGAGGAATGGGGACGGGGTGCAGAGGGAGACAGGTGCAGAGGGGGACAGGACAGGTCCACGAGTAATGGGGTCTGTGTGCAGAGGGGGACAGCCACAAGGAATGGGGACGGAGCGCAGAGGGGGACGGGGATGGGGTGCACAGGAGGACAGGGTGCAGAGGGAGACGGGTGCAGAGGGGGACGGGATGCAGAGGGGATAGTGCCATGGGGAACAGGAAGGGGTGCAGAGGGGGTCAGGGACAGCATGCATAGGGGAGCTGGGCCACGGGGAACTGGACGGGGTGCAGAGGGGGACAGGGTCACGAGGAATGGGGACAGGGTGCAGAGGGGGACAGGGCCACGAGGAATGGGGACAGGGTGCAGAGGGGGACAGGGCCACGAGGAATGGGGACAGGGTGCAGAGGGGGACGGGCTGCAGGGAATGGGGATGGGATGGGGTACAGAGGGGGAGAGGGGCTCCAGGTCCGCTCCTATAGCAGGTGCTCGCCCTGGGTTAGGGACGGGAGCTGCGGGTGGGGAGGCCGTGGGGGTTGAGGGCTGTGGACAGCAGCCTCACGTGCTATGTCCCCTCAGGACAAGGAGAAGAAGAAGAAGGAGAGCATCTTGGATCTGTCCAAGTACATCGACAAGACCATCCGGGTGAAGTTCCAGGGCGGCCGTGAAGGTGAGGCCCAGGGCACGCTGGCTTGGCGGTGCAAACGGCTGTGAAGAGGGGTCTACGCGCTTGACTGGGCCACTTTGCGCAGCCAGACTGACCCAGCTGGAAGGGAGGGACTGGTGTGCCCACCTTGCAGTGGGGACACTGAGGCTCGGAGGGGGGAACAACACAACCAGTGGCACACCTGGGTCGGGACTCGGCACCTGGCCTCCCACGTGGTCCCGTCTCTGAGCCCCCCCAGGCGCCCGGCTTCCTGATCTCTTGGCTTCTGTTCCTGCTCCCCAGACACCAGGGCCTTCCCTCTGCCTGTGCACCTGTGGGACCAGGGGGTCTCTGGCCATCCCCAGCACTGCACAGATGGAGCAGCATGCCCAGCCTCCCCCGCTCCAGGCCAGGAGCACTGCGGGTGGTGACCACCAGAGTGGCCCCAGACAGGGCCAGTGTCCCCTGTAGCAGTTTCCACTGGTGGGGAACCACAGCTCTGTGACCAGCCTGCACGTGGTGGCCAAAGGAACCTGTTAGGGTGGGCTCCCTCACGCCTGCTCGGACCCTGCAGGGCTCCCCACTCCGGGTCCAGCCTGCCCTCCTCCAGCAGGTGAGGGCCCAGCACTCTGCCGCTCTGGGCTCGCCGTCTCGCGGCCGAGCCCTGCGTCTGGCCTGGGCAGGACCTAGCAAGAGCGAGGCTCTCAGAGGGCAGGAGCCAGGCCGTGGCCCTGGCCCTGTGGTCCAGTGGAGAGAGCAGCAGTGGCCCTGGCTCTGGTCCCAGGCAGCTGCCCTCTGAGTCTCAGTGTCCTCGTGGCATACAGGGCTACCTCCACCTGCTCCCCGGGTGGCCGTGTGACTCCAGGCTCCTCCCTCAGCGGGCACTGGTGGGCCTCTCACTCACTGGGGGCAGCCTCTCTGACGCTTGGCTCCTTCCTCCTCAGATGGGGACTCAGGCGCCACCACGAGGTGGACAGTTGGTATCAGAGCCCAAACCTGAACGTCCAGGTGCAGCCCACAGGTCAGCTCCACGCTGAGCACGTGAGCCTGCTGGGCCCATGCTGGTGCCCAGGCGTGCAGGGTGTCGGAGTGGACGCGGCTCTGGCTTTCCAGGGGCTGCCTCTGTTTCCTAACGTGGGTAGCAGATTGCCAGCAGGTTCAGTACCTCCCAGGTTGACAGGCCGAGAGCCCAGCGCCTAGGGCACAGGGTCTCAGACGTCACGAGACAGGGGTCTCTTTGGGCCTGTCCACACAGACCCCACCCGCTTCCCAGCGTGCTGGATGTGGGCAGAAGTCAGCCCCTTGTAGTTGTGGGCTGGGCCCTGGGCTTGTGATGTTGGTGTCTGTGGACCCCATTCCTGCCTGGGCCTCTGCATGTGGCAGCTTGCTCCCGTGGCGTGGGTTGGGCAGACGTGTTCACATTGAGCGCCGGAAAGTGCCTGGCTCTTGAAGGTCCCACCCGATTAGAACAGGCCCACCGCAGTCATGGTCACATGACCTAATCTTAAGAGAGACCCTGTGAGAGCCCAGGGCCAAACCCACAGTCGAGCATGCGCCCAGGTCAGGGGGTCCATCTGCTCTCAGCCCGTGATCAGGACGGAATCACAGGTGCCCCTGGGTCTGCAACTGCACCCCTCCCTGCAGCCCACCCGGCAGGCGCCCTTGCTCAGAGACGGCCCCCCCAGAGCCAGGGGCCTCTCAGGAGCATCAGGGCCAGGCATGAAGGCCCAGCAGGGTGCGGACAGCACAGCTCCGCCTTTGCAGCTGCTGAGGTGCTGAGAGAGCTGGTGTCACCCTGTGTGCTGGCACCGTCTCCAAACGGGGTGCAGAGGGGGACGGGGTGCGGAGGGGTACAGGGCCACGGGGCGAGGGAGCCAGGACGGGCGGCACCAGGTACATGAGGGTCCTGGAGGAAGAAGCCAGAGAGGCTGGGAGCAGGGGGCAGGGAGCAGGGGGCAGAGCCAGGCAGTGACCTCAGGAGTGACCTGGCAGGATGCACCCTCAGAGCCCTGTCCCTTGAGGACTGTGAGGAGGTGAGACAAGTCACCTTTTCATCTCTTCTGGGAGGACGGGCTTCATGATGTTGGAAACCCTCGCGCTTTGGCCCCTCAGCACCCTGGACAGCCTCCTGGGTACTCTCCCTCCCAGCGCCCAGCCTTCCCGCAGTGGTGACGGACACCAGGTGGCGCTCTCCAGGCACTGCCGCCTGCTGGCCCAGGGGTTCTGACCAGAGGTGGTGGTAGCCATCACCTAGCCCTCCTGGAGCCTCCTGGGTCCCCATACCTGCACTGGGCAGCCCCTGGCAGGAGGGAACACCCGCTGGCCACCCCGGGCCCCTTTCCAACATCGGCCGCTGACCTTGGCTTTGCCTTCTCCCGGGACCTCTGTAAGCCAGTGGAATCCTGAAAGGCTTCGACCCGCTGCTCAACCTCGTGCTGGACGGCACCATCGAGTACATGCGGGGTGAGTCCAGCGGGAGGGGCCGGAAGGCCGTCCGTCGCCTTGGGGTCGTGGGAGATGCATGCCCTGCCGGTGGTCCCTGGGGTCCGGTGGTCCCTGGGGTCCAGCAGCCTGCGGTGCTCGAGCGGGCAGGGCCACGGGCCGAGGAGCTTGCCGAGAGCCGCCGCCTGAGCCGCTCCAGCCGTCCTCTCCTCCTGGCTCCGTCAGCACAGGACCCGTCCCCCACCCAGAGGGACCGCTTGTCCCCCGGTGCCTCCTCCTGGGGGAGCACCAGCCCTGCCCTGCCCATCAGCCCAGGTCCCCAGCTCAGCAAGGCACCAGGGGACACAAGGACCTCTGGAAGGAGGAGGTCTGGCCCTGGGGCCTGTCCCCGAGGTTAGACAGGATCTGCTCTTGTCCCCTGTAGTGTCCCCACGTCGTGGGAGGAAGAGGCAGGAGGGTCAGGGGCTCCCTGCCACCCGCATGCCACCTTGGGCACGGGGCCCCCACATAGCCCCAGGGTCAGGGCACCTGAGTTCCCTGGGCCTCGTTCCCGGCGGCTGCACATGGTTTCCTGCAGCTCTGGCCCCATGGTCACACACCAAGAGAGGCTGCCCGTGAGGTCCTGGTCACTCACAGCGTCTGCCCATGGGGGAGGGTGGAGCCGCCGCCCGGCCCTTAGACGGGGTCTTACTGACCCACGGGTGCTGTCTGTCCCCCCGCAGATCCCGATGACCAGTACAAGCTGACGGAGGACACGCGGCAGCTGGGCCTGGTGGTCTGCCGCGGCACCTCCGTGGTGCTCATCTGCCCGCAGGACGGCATGGAGGCCATCCCCAACCCCTTCATCCAGCAACAGGACGCCTAGTGGCCGCCTCGTGGCCGCCTCGTGGACTCAGACGCCCCAGCGGGGGCAGATGTGCGTTTTCTTAATAAAATGTCAAGCTCAGGACGCGAGCACTCGGGTCTGCCAGGCGGGGTCCCCGTGCGACTGGGCAGGCACGGGCCAGCGAGCTGGGGGCCTGGTTCTGTGAGGACCCTGCAGAGCTGCCTGCGGCCACCCACCCCCACTCTGCCCCGCTCCAGAGTCGCAGTGGACAGCACCCTGGACAGCTCCCTGCAGCTCACCACCCCACTCAGAACTGGGGCTGCAGGCCAGGCAGGGCCTCTCCAGCCTCAGCAGGTGCAGCCCAGCCTGTGGGCCTTCCTGGCCCATCTCCCCAGCGTCCTTGTTGGGACCGCCCTGGACACTGACCCCACTGAGTGTGATCACCTGGGGGGCCCCGCAGCTAGAGAGACAGAAGCCTGGGTGGGAGGGGAAGCTGCAGGGCTGGCCTCTGATGACCGCCCGGCTGGCACAGGCTAGAGGTCAGCGTGGCCGGGCGTGGTGGCCACACCTCCCTCCCAGCTCCTCGGGAAGCCGAGGCAGGAGGACCACAAGTTCCAGGCCCGTCTCAAAAGGGCTGCAGATGCAGCTCCGTGGAAGAGTGGCTGGGGTCCCCCCTCCCCGCAGCCCTGCAAGAAAGAACCAACCAGGAGATGAAGAAGCTGTTGTGTGCCACCGGCTTCACAGACGCTTGTCACAGCGAGAGTTCATAGGCACCTGCTGACGGCAGCCTGTGGCAACATGCAGAGTCCAGTGGCAGACCACGCAGCACGGGCGGTTAAGACCTGCTCTGCGCATTCAAGCTTGTCAGAGTGGGGCGCGGTGGCACTCGCCCGCATCCGATCCTAGAAGCTCAGGAGGCTGAGGCAGGAGGACCACAAGTTCAAGGCCAGCCTCAGCACCTTAGCCAGCACTGTCTCTAAATAAAAAGTAGAAGGGCTGGGGTGCGGCTCAGTCCTCGTGGGAAATAGTTAGTGGCTAAGAAGCTCCTGAAGGGCACGTGCCCACCTGGTCCTGAGGGGTGTCACCCAGCTCTGAGCACCTAAGTATTTTAAAAGGAGGAATTCAATACTTAGTGTTGTCCCTTTAGCATCACATTGAAAAGTTCACATTCTACAGGCGTCAGGGAAGGGACTTGGAGACCCGGAGAGGGGCCAGGGAGGGGTGAAGACAGGTCAGACCCTGGGACCACCGGCTGACCGAGTGGGGGCGGGCCTGGGGAGCAAGCCGCCCGCTCTCCAGAGCGGCCCCTCCCACTTACCCTGGGCCTCACTTTCTGCAGTCCCGGTGGGTCTGGAGCTGCGAGAGACCACTGTGGCTGGCCACCTGAGCCACCTCCTCGCCTCTGGGACCCACCAGAGAGCGTGGGGGGGCTACTCTGGACGCAGCAGCTGGGGTGGGGAGAGGCAGAGCTGACCACCAGAGCCTCAGGGTCTTTTCCACCATCAGAAGCTTCTGGAACCTGCTGTGAGGCCCTGTCCTGGGGGCCGAGGCGGGACCTGCTCCTCTGCCTGCAGGGACCTCTGTCCCCCAGAGCGGAGCCTCTGTGGTCAGCACCGAGGCCTCTTGGCGGGACGTGGAAGCCAAGGGCTGTGGTCACCAAGGGCCCGTGCAGCAGGTCTGGCCCCTGGTCGATGGGCGCAGCCCCACACTGAGCCTGAGCCTGTGCTGAGCAGGAGCAGGGAGTGGAAGGGTGGCCCCGCTGGGGTGGGGGACGGCCTGGCGTCATGGTGGCTGCGGTGCTGGCGCAGGGCTGGGACTGACGGGTTGGCCCTGAGGTCCAGGCTGTTTCCCACATGACAGTGAGGAGGGCCCTCCCTGCAGATGCTCCAACACCCCTTCAAGTTAAGGTGGGAACTCGCGCAACCCAGAAAAAGGGCCCGCGACCCCCACCGCTGCGGTCTCAAGAGTGAGACTGGACACCCCAGGCCAGGACGAGGCCACGCTGCCTGGGGGCTCAGAGTGCCAGAGGGAGAGACGTCAGGAAGCCAGGCGAGAGTTTCCCATTGGCACAACCTGAGAGTCCCACACCGTGCCTGTCCCCGGACCAGGACCGGAGTGTCACACGCGAAGGTGGCCCCCGCCTATTGACCGGTCAGGGCCTGGGCCTCCTCCCTAGCTGTTTGCTTGTGTTTGCTGGCCCCACCCCCGCCCATCTAGGAGCTTCATGAGCCGGGGACAGGGCATCCCCCTACTCAACGTGGCAGCCAGGTGGGACACCTCGCGCCCCAGGTGCCCGGCAACCACCGGACGCCGGGTCAGCAGTGTCCGCACCTGGGGAGCCCCCAAAGGCTGGCGAGATTCTCCAGCCAAAGCGTTGCGTGGAGGCTGGTGGACGGCCTTACTGGACCCGACCGAGGGGTGAGGAAGTCTTCGCGGGACGACTGGGGGAACGGCGCGGGCGGGGCGGGGGCGGGGCTGGCTGCGGCGGCCGTCCCTGTGGACCTGTGTTCCAGAGGCAGAGGCTCAGGTGAGCTCGGTGTGGGCCGACTCCCCCACCCTCGGTCCCCCCCTCCGAGTCTGCGGGCGCCGCTTCCTCCTCCTCTCCCCTCTTTTGCTGGGAGTTGAACCCAGGACCCTGCGCAGGAGGCGATGCACTCTCCACTTCCGTGCGCCTCGGAGGAGAGATCTTTCAGAGGGTGGATGAGTGAGCTTCCTTCTGAGCTCGGGTGGGGGGCGGTTACTTATCTGGGAGACAGTTCTTGGAGTTCCTGCCTCTGTTCCTAGAATCATCCCACATGGCCACCCAAAGCCAACCCTTGTCTGGAACCCTCTATGGCTCTTAACTTCCCTTAAGACAACCTGAGTCCTCTTGCTCACTCCAGGCAACTCTGTACCTACCTGATTGTTGGCCCGGCTCAGGCAGGTGGTAAATATTACATGCCCGTTTACCCCTCCCCAAAGCCACAGGACTCGTGATCCCCACTTTACAGATGAGGCTATTAGGGCTCAGAGAGGCTGACGCCTAGCCTGAGGTCACACAGCAAGTATCCAGCCAAGCTGGAGCCTGGCCTCAGACCCAAGGTCCCAGCTACTCCTCACGTTTTTCCCCTGAGCAACTGAGGACTCCTGCCTCAATTACAGAGGGGAAGCCACTTGGGGCCACAGAAGGCTCCTGAGCCACCTGCCCCCACACTGACCTCGACTGCTGACCTGTTACCACCGTGGCTCTGCGGAGACAGGAGAGGGAGGGCTTGTCATCAGGAGGCACAGGAAGAATCCTGCCAGGGAGCCCCCACCAGCCCCCCACCAACCTCACACCCTCCCCACACAGCAGGCTGGGCTGGGGGTGGGCAGGGCCCTTCCTGTCCCCAGCCCCTCCCGCAGCTTCCCCATCCAGAGCTGCCCTTTCCTCCCGGGTGGTCCCTCTCCAGGGCAACGTCCCCGGCACAGGTGGCCGTAACCTTGGTAACCAGTACCACCCCCACTGCCCAGGAGGTTGTAACCTGGCAGCCCCTCCCACGCAGCCCTTGCCCCCGCCAAGGCAGCACCCTGGAGGACCCACTGGGATGCTGGGCCCAGAGAGGACGAGGGACACCCCAAGGTCACCAGCAATGAGTGGCTGGCCCCGGACTTCAGCCGCCCTCATCCAGCTACCAGCCACAAACGTGGGCTGTTCCTCCGCTGAGACCTACTAAGTGCTGGGGGGCTCTCCTGGGCTCTGGCCCCCTGGGGCAGGAAGTGAGACAGGCCAAGGAAGGCAGGGGACAGCCACAGTTCAGGGAGCCCCGGGGCCCTTGGGCCGCATCCCTCCTCGCTGTGCAGGTACCTGTGGCTGCAGCCCAGCAGGGGGCAGGGCACCGACAGAGTAAGGCAAGAGTCCCCAGCTCCCGGACTTGCCAAGGGGCTGGGGAGGAGGGACATGGCAGCCAGGGCGGCGGTGAGTCCAGGGGAAGTGGGGGCCGCGTCGGGGGCGAGGACAGCCTGTGCCCAGGCCTAGGCGGGCCCAGCCCCCAGGGCTCGCCCTGCCACGTGTCCAGAGCCACGACCCCCCGCAGGACAGAGCCGCCAAGCCAGCATCTAGGTGCTCTGTGACCTCAGGCTGGTCACTTCCCCTCTCTGACGCCTGCCTCTGGGGCTCTTGGGAGAAGGTCTTCACTGAGGGCCGATGTGGCCAAGCCACGGGCCGGGAGCCCCTCCCCCTCACGGGTGGCACACTGAGGTTGGGTGGAGCCCCGCCGCCTCCCAACCAGGACAGGGCAGGACCGGACTCGATCAGGTGGCCACTGATGTCCCTAGCCCTCCCTGAGGACGCTGCCCTGACCTCAGCCCTGGTCAGGCAGCAGCCACCAATGCGGCCTCCCACCACCCGTCCCGGGGTCCTGGGCCCTGCACTCCCTCCCTGTTGCCTGGCATGGTGGACCCCGGGCTCAGGACTCCCTGCCCCGGCCCCGAGATGCAGGTATCAGCCTCAGAGGCTCAGGGGGCGTGGCCAGCCTGAGGCCACCCGGGGGCAGCACCCAGCCTTGGGGGGGCATGGAGAGAGGTCATGTCCTTCTTCCAGACCTCACCGAGGCCACCCACCTCCTGCCGGTCCCGCGGGGGCCTGGCCTGCGGCCTCCCGGGAAGCAGTTCTGGGCCTCTGGCCAACGCGACAGTCTGGTGACAAAGCCTGTTGAGTCACAGGTGGCTCTGCTGCTGCGGAGCCACTCGTGAGGCTGCCCAGGACGCAGAGGGTGGAGGATGGGTCAGGGGTCGGCAGTGGACGCCGGTTCCCAGGGGCCAGGCCAGCCTCCCTCCCGTCACTGGGACAGATGGCACCTCAGAGTCTGTCAGCCCACCTGTGAAATGGGGACATAACGGCCGGCCGTAGCAGGGAGGAAGAGGCAGGAGCAAGGCCTGCTTGAAGGAGCCTCAGAGGCGCCGTCCGGTGCTGGTCCTCCCGGGCACCACCACCACCACCCTCTTCCCTGAGGCCCAGGGGTAGCTGTCCTGGGGCCTGGACTCCACGCTCTGATCCCAGGGCTTGTTCCCACCAGGGAGCCCCCGGGCGGGGAGGGGACAGAGCCCAACCCCGGCTGGCTGTGACGGCCTGGCCGCTGAGGCCCCTCCCCCAGGCTCCAG